ACTCAGCAGGGCCTGGCCCCAGGGACTGCTCTTTGGGAAAGCCTCCTCTGGGCTCCTGCCTTGCCTTGTAGGCTAAGCTACTTGCTCCTGGTGTACTTTCTGCTACCTTGGGTGTTTCTTATGTGTTTTCATCACCACTCAAGCCTCCAGGGTCCTTATCAGAGCACAGGGATCCCCATTCTCCTTTCCACTTCTTCCCTGCTGACCAAGTTGGGAGTAGATGCCCCAGGCAGTCAAAATCAGTGCTAGAAGGCATACGAGATGTCTGTACTTTCTTTTATTTATTTTTTTCAGGGCTTAGTTAATTGAATAAATTGGCTAATGAACAAAGGAAATTAATTGCAGTTTTGAAATGTGACCGTGGCTTTGTGTTATTCTGATTGTGCCAGCAGCCTGCCACTGCCGCCAGTGCCTCTGTTCAGGAGCTCAGAAGCTTGGGCATCAGTGCTGGGTGTTCTCAGAAGCCACAACCTGGGGTCTATGCCCAGGAAGATGGTCAGGGACTGTGTATCTCTTTAGGACCAGTGTTGTTGGAGCTTTAGCTAAGGCCGAGACTGAGACTCTTGGTGACAGATGCTCACTGAATGCTGCTGGCTATCTGTTGCTGTGGCCTGATTCAAGCTGGAATGCACAGTGTGGACCCTGCAGCATCCTCAGCTCTTGTTGGGGGAAAGCTGGTGTCTTGACTTCTGACTGGTGATTGGAGTGATAGGGTATACTGTCTCTCACACAAGCTGGTCTCCGCTTGGTCTCTTGGAGTTCCCTTTCAATTTTTGAACTCTGTATTTTGTGTATCTTCCTTAGCCAGTTTCCTGTGTCTTTCTGAGAGTACCACCCCAACCCTCACCATCCACTTAGGCTGGATATACTACTGCTGCACAGGCCATGGCATGGTATATTCACTGGCATGCATGGATTTTCCTGGTACCTGCTAGCTGGCGTTTTGAGAGTAGGGCAACTAGGTCCTGGGTGGGTGTTGGTGAAGTTAGTGTTGGGTGGTGAAGACATTTACTGGTAGCACCTGGCCACACACCCTTCCCATGGCAGCCCTAGAGCATCATCAGGGCATTTCCCTGTGACCACTAAGTCAGCTGGGGTTCCCAAGCACCTGGCTGGGTCCTCTTGACCTTTCCTTACCTGTGAAAGTCAGTTGTATTTATCAGTGTGATTGTGCCAGTGTGCCGTATTGGCCAGGCACATATCTTGGTGTGCTGTGTTTTCAGGTGGGATGGACACTTTAGCCAGCAACCAGAGCAGAGGTGACCCTCTACAGTGTTTAGGTACTTGGAATCATGGGGGTGGAGATGGGAGTGGCCTCAGGGCCCTGCGTGGTACCAGGAGCCTGCTGAATGGGGGATGAGATAGTAAGCACGTATGAGTAAGACCTGTAGCAGGTCACTGGGCTCAGGTGGCCAGGTGGGAAACTACTGATAGCACAGGATGGGCATGAATTGATCATTGTTATGTGCCAGGCTCCATCAATGAACTGCTTGAATTTATGTCACTTTCCTGATGGGCCAGTTATGCTTTGGGAATGTGGGACCTTGAGGGTCTGAAACTGCCAGGCTGGTGGTCCTAGGCTTTTCACCCAGACATCGGAGACCTGTGTACTGTGTGCTGTTTCCTCTCAGCGTGTGGAACCCAGCTTTGGGGGTTCAGGATTCTCCTGCCTCTACCTCCTGAGTGCTGGGATGATAGATACCCATGGCCATGCCTGGCTTATGTTCTGCTGGCCGCTAAACCTAGGGACTTGTGTATGTTAGGCAAGAACTCTGCCAACCCAAGCAGGATCCCTAGCTCCTTGTTTTCTGGCTTATGTCTCATTCATTGTGGCTCGTCTGAAGGGGAGGGGCTAGGTAGAAACTGACCACAGCACCATTATGGTGAGTGGTGAGCTTGGAGTAAGACCTACCCTGACCCTCAGACACTTACAGCCTAGAGAAGTCAGAGGTCTTTAATCTACAGGAGCAGAAACCAAATGCGGCATCTTTAGTCACGGGCTTTGTCATCTGCCATTCCAGAGGTCCTGGCAGGGCTAGATGCAAGTGCTCAGCTGTGTGCCTTTTCTCTTCTTCACCTGCCTGTTGCTGGGTTTCTCTGGGACTTAACTTACAGACTGATTTCCTAGGCTAAAGCCATCTTCCAGGTGGAAGGGAACACCTGCATCCTGGTGGTCAGGGCAAACAACCTGGGCTGAGACTTCTGGCATTGGCTGGCCAGGCTTTTACCCATGAGCACCCCTGAACCCTGGACTAGAAAGGACAGTTAGGTGGTAGAGTATGTCTGTGTTGTACAGGAGAGATGGCAGGTACATGATCCCCACATTGACAACAGTAACTTGCCGCACG